TCAGCTGGGCGTGGTAGCGCATGCCTGTAGTTCCGGCTACTCGGAAGGCTGAGGCGGAAGGATCGCCGGAGCCCAGCAGGTCGAGGTTGCGGTGGCCGGGAGCAGCCACTGCACTCCAGCCTGGGTGACAGAGTGAGACTCCAACTCAAAAAAAAAAAAAAGAAAAGAAAAGAAAAGAAAAAACTGTCAAAACTCAGTAGCAGAAAAAAATATTAATGTTCCAATTAGAAAAAGGAACATATTAGTCACCAAAAAATATATTAACAAATGGCAAATAGCACATGAAAAGATGCTTAACATTGGCTGGGCACAATGGTGCACACTTGTAATCCCAGCATTCTGGAAGGCCAAGGTGGGAGGATCCCTTGAGACCAGGAGTTCGAGAGCAGCCTAGGCAACATAGCAAGACCTTGTCTGTACAAAAAAATTGCTGGGTGTGGTAGCTCAGACCTATAGTCCGAGCTACTCAGAAAGCTGAGGCGAGAGTATCACCTGAGCCCAGCAGGTCAAGGGTGCAGTTATCATGCCACTGCACTCCAGCCTGGACAACAGGGTGACTCCAATTCAAAAAAAAAAAAGAAAAGAAAAGATGTTCAACATCACTGGACATTAAAGAAGGGCAAATTAAGACTATACTGGGATATCACTACATACCTTTCAGACAATCTAAAAGAAAAAATACTGACAACACGAAATGCTGGTAAGGATGCAGAAAACTGGATCACTCATACACTGCTGGTGAGAATGTAAAACAATATAACCATTCTGGCAGTTTCTGATAGAATTAAAAATGTCATTACTATATGACTCATCGGGCCTATAGTCCAGCTTGGCCTTCCAGAATGCTGGGATTACAAGTGTGCCCCCATTGTGCCCAGCCAATGTTAAGCATCTTTTCATGTTCTGTTTGCCATTTGTTAATATCTTTTTTTGGTGACTCTCGGGTATTTATCCCAGAAAAATGAAAACTTACATTCATGCAAAAACCTGAATATGAATGTTCACAGAAGCTTTAGTTGTGTAATAGAAAAAACTGGAACCAGTACAGATGTCTTTCAACAGGTGACTGGTTAAACAGACTGTGGCATTTCCACACTATGGAATACTACTCAACAATAAAAAGGAATGAACTACTGATAGACACAAAAACTCAGATGAATCTCCAGGGAATTATGCTAAATGAAAAAAATCCAATTCCAGTGCCAAGATAATTCAATGGGGGAAAGAATAGTCTTTTCAACAAATGGGACAAATGGATGGGACAACTGGATATTCACATATAAAAGAATGAAGTTGGATCCCTACCTCACATCTACACAAAAATTAATTCAAAATGGATCAAAGACCTCAATATAAGAGCTAAAGTCATAATACTCTTAAGAAAAAACATAGGGGTAAATTTTCATAACTTTGGATTACGCAATGTTTTCTTAGATATGACATCAAAAGCACAAAAAAAAGAAAAGAAAAAAATAGATAAACTGGGCTTCAAAACTGAAAGCCTTTGTAATTCAAAGGACACCATCAAGGAAAAGATAACATAAAGAATGGGAGAAAATATTTGCAAACACATCTGATAAGAATCTACTATCAAAAATATATAAATAACTTTTTTTTTTTGAGTTAGAGTCTCACTCTGTCACCCAGGCTGGAGTGCCACGGCACACTCACAGCCACCCCAGCGTCGACCAGCTGGGCTCCGGTGATCCTTCCACCTCAGGCTTCCAAGTAGCCAGAACTACAGGCACGTGCTACCACACCCAGCTAATGTTTTGATTTTTACTGTAGAGACAAGGTCTCACCAAGTTGTCCAAGCTGGTCTCGAACACGCAGGCCTAGGCAATACGCTTACCTCGGCCTCCCAAAGTGCTGGGATTACAGGCTGAGCCACCAAGCCCAGCCTAGAATATATAAACTCCTATGAGTCAATAGAAAAGACAAATAATCCAACTTAAAAATGGATTATTTTTAAGAATGTGTACGTAGAAAAATTGGAACCCTCACAGACCACAGGTGGAAATGTAACATGGTACAGCTGCTTTGGAAAACAGTTCAGCAGTTCTTCAAGGGATAAACACAGAGTTACCATATGACATATATGGTCTATAGCCAAGAAAAATAAAAACATGTATCCACATAAAAACATGTACACAAACATTCATAGCAATACTGTTCATAATAGCCAAAAAGTGTAAACAACCCAAATTTCCATCAACTAATAAATGGACGAATTGTGGTATATTTATACAATGGAATATCATTCAGCAATAAAAAAGAATGGAGTACTGATACATACAACATGGGCAAACCTTGAAAACATATGCAAAGTGCCAGGAACAGTGGCTCACATCTGTAATCCCAGCACTTTGAGAGGCCGAGGTGAGAGGATTGCCTGAGCTCACGGATTCGAGGTCAGCCTGGACAACATGGCCAGACCTTGTCTCTACAATAAATCAAAAAATTAGACAGGCATGATGGCACATGCTTGTAGTTCCAGTTAGTTGGAAGGCTGAGGCAGAAGGATCACCTGAGCCCAGCAGGTCAAGGCTGCGGGTGCCACTGCACTCCAGCCTGGGTGACAGAGTGAGACTCCTAACTCCAGCCTGAGCAACAGAGTGAGACTCCGACTCAAAAAAGAAAACATCATGCAAAGTGGAAGAAGCCAGTCACAAAATTTACTTTCTGTCTCTATAGTTTTGCCTTTTAGTGGACTATTTAGAGACAGAAAGTAAATTTGTGTCTGCCTGGAGCTAGAGGTGTGGGGGTGAAATAAGGGTGACTGCTAAAGGGTACAAGGCTTCCTTTTGGGGTGATGAAAATGTTCCAAAATTGATTGTGCTGATGGTTGTGTAACTCTGTGAATACAGTAGCCCCCTATTATCTTTAGGGAACATGATCCAAGACCCCCAGCGGGTGTCTGAAATCACAGATAATACTGAACCCCATATAAACTATATTTTTCCTATACATACATACTTATGATAGTTTAATGTATAAATTAGGTACAGTAAGAGATTAACAACAATGACTAATAATAAAATAGAACAATTATAACAATACACTGTAATAAATGTTTGGTGTGAGCCAGGCACAGTGACTCATGCCTCTAATCCCAGCACTTTGTGAGACCAAGGTGAGAGGATTGCCTGAGCTCACACGTTTGAGACCAGCCTGGGCAAGCTGGCGAGACCTCATCTCTACAATAAGTCAAAAAATTAGCTGAAGATGGTGGCACGTGCCTGTAGTTCCAGCTACTTGGAAAGCAGAGGTGGAAGGATCACCTGAGCTCAGCTGGTTGAGGCTGCAGTGGCCGTAAGAGTGTCACTGCGCTCCAGCATGAGCAGCACAGTGAGACTCTGACTCAAAAAAATAAAAAAATAAGTTTGGTGCATGAGGTCTCTCTCCCTTTCTCCAAGTATCTGATTGTCCTATATGCACCTATTTTCAAACCTCAGATGACTACAGGTAACTGATGCCCAAGAAGGAGAAACCTGGGACTACAGTACACTAAAAACCATTGAATTGTACACTTTCTTTTCTTTTCTTTTCTTTTTTTAAATCAGAGTCTCACTGTCACCCAGGCTGGAGTGCAGTAGCATGCTCATGGTGACTGAAATCTCGACCTGCTGGGCTCGGGTGATCCTTCTGCCTCAGCCTTCCAAGTAGCTGGAACTACAGGTACATGCCACCATGCCCAGTTAATTCTTTGATTTATTGTAGGGATAAGGTCTCGCCAACTTGCCCAGGCAGGTCTCAAACCTGTGGGTTCAGGCAATCCTCTCACCTCTGCCTCCCAAAGTGCTGGGATTATAGGTGTGGGCCACCATGCCCGGCTAAATTGAACACTTTCATCAATAAATTGTATGAGATGTGAATTGCATTGCAATAAAGTTGTTAACAAAAAAAAGTCAATTCCTGAAGGGTACATAGTCTATGATTTCATTTATATAATATTTTTGAAACAAAAAATTTTAGGAATGAAGGAAGGATTCACGATTACCAATGGAACAAGAGAGGGAGATGAATGTGGTTAATGAGAGGCCAAAGGGTCCTCAAGGTGATTGAACTGCTCAGTGTTTTGACCACAGTGGTAAATATACAAACCTCCACATGTGATAAGCTGTATATACTTAACACACACACATACACATGAATGTGTACAAACAAAACTGGGGAATTCTGAATAAGATCTGTGGATTATATCAATGGTGATATCTTGATTGTGATATTATACTATAGTTCTGCAAAATGTTACCATTGTAAGACACAGGGTAAAATGTACAGGAAATCACTCTGTATTTTTCTAACAACTGCACATGAATCTACACTTATCTTAATACAAATTCCATTAAAAAACACAATGAAATCACAAAAAAAAGAACCCTGTTCTTTTCTCACTTTCTCTTCTGATTAAACAAAAGAGACCCTCATCTGGCACAGGTGCACTATCCCTCCTAACACCTGCTTTTCTCTTTTAACAAGAAAGAGCAGACTTCAGGCTCAAGGCCCAGGCAAGAGAATCCAGCTAGAATTTATAACACGCTTGTATTTTAGTTGTTTATTTTATCTAGATGATATAGTGTAGAATTATGAATGCTGATTCTGGAGCCAGCCAGTCAAGGGTTCCAATCCGATCTCGGCCACTTACTAGCTGTGTGTTCTTGAGCCAGTCACTCACTTATCTCTGTGCCTCAGGCACAACATCTGTAGAATAGGTATGACAAGGGTACCTACATCATGGTGGTGTTGTAAGTTTTAAATCAATAAATATGTGTGTTTATAGGCACACATATGCTTATGTGTCTGACACAAAGGTAATGTTTTGGCTATCATTATTTTACCATTCAAGAGTCGAGGGGAAAAAAATCACAACGTTTTAGAAACTTTTAGAAGCACAGATTCAGGCCATTTTACTTTCTCAGAATGTGCCCCTCCGCTGCCCTGAGCCCATACCCAGGTGACCCGCCAGGGACTGGGACCTGGGTAGCAGCAGCACCCACCTGCACACTTGGTGCGGCTAACGAGGGGTGGTCCGGGGCGGCCAGTGCCGCCGTCTCCGGGGCGCGTGAGCAGCACGCTGATCTCGTACTCGGTGTCGGGATCGAGGTGCCACAGCTTGTAGGTCTGCAGGCTGACGGCGTGCACCTCGGCCCAGGGGCCGCGAGCCATGCGGTACTCAATCTCCTTGCGCACGATCGGCCCGTCGCCAATGATGGAGTTGGTGTTGAGCTGGATGATGAGGTAGGTGGGGCCGGCACGCAGCAGCTGTGGGGGCGCGATGGGGGTGGGGGGCTCTGCGAGGAGATTCGGAGAGACGGGCCGACGGATTCTGCTGTGAGACTCCAGCCCCCAACTCTGCATCCCACAACACACAAACCCCCAAGAGCCCTCCCCGTCCTCCCTAACCCCTTCTGCTGCTACCAAGTCCTCGACCAGACCCACCCTCCACTCCCCACTAAATCACCAGGGCCTACGGGGAACTTGGTTCCAAAGACTCCGCCCTCACGTTTCAGGCCACGACCTCTCCCTCAAGACCCTCCCCGCTCCTCGCCTCCAGGAGCTGACTGCAATCGGGCTGGGATCAACTCAGGAGCCACAGAGCTAGACCCCGCCTCTCCAGGCTCTCACCTAGACCCGGGTCCCCAACCCGCCGGCCCCGCCCCCTCGTTTAGACCTCAGCCGGAGTGAGGCACTGCTCCCTCCGCAGGTCAAATCGCCCGCGACCCCACCCCTCCACGGGCCACGTCCCCAGGGCAGACCCTGCCCCCTCCTCCCGCCTCGCCCCTCGGAGGGCGCAGGTCTCGGCCCTCCCCTAGTCCGCGCGCTGACCCTTGACGATGAGCTCCGCAAAGTTGGAGACTCCCGCGCCGCGCGGAGCCTGGGACACACAGCGGTACAGGTCCTGCTCCGCGCGGCCCACGGAGACCAGCGGGAAAGTGGCCAGGAAGCGCCGGTGGCTGATGTGTCGCACGCCGGCCGCGGGCACCAGCGCCCCGCTCTGCCGCTGCGGGGAAGAGGGGTCAGAGGAGTCAGGGCACCGAGAAAGGAGGGGTCCCGATCTCGCTCTGCCCTGGGCGAGTGGGGGAGTAATTGCCTGGCCCCACAGAACCGTCCCTACTACACAGGGGCACACGGGATTCCTGAGGCTGTGCTCCGTCTTGGGACTATGGAAAACCAAGAGGGCAGAGCCGAGCTGAGGGAGTACCGGGACGCACGTGTATGGGTGCTGGAGTATGAAGGTAGGAAGGACCTTGCAAGGGAGTCAGGGCCCAGAAGAAGCAACCCACCCCTCCTTGGCCAAGGTCCCCACTCCCCTCACCTGCAGGAGGAAGCGCTCTGCCTCGGCTGCTCTGCCGGCAGCCATGCACTGGAATGATGCGTTCTGGCCGGCGTTGACTTCCACGTCGCCCAGGCGAGAGAAGTGTGGGGCCTTTGCTGTGGGAATAGAGCACTGCATAAGTTGGGCCTGCGCCCCTGCTGGTAGGAGCTGCCGCTGGCATCCCTCACCCCTGTGCCCATAGTGGGCTGGGACTCACCACAGGGGTAGCTGAGAAGCAGGATGTCATCTAGGCCTATGTAGCCCCTGCGGTCTGGGGAGATGAGGGCCTCAAACAGCACCTGGGGGAGGTGGGAGGGCCCCTGTCATACAGATATCCCTCCAGCCCTGCCTAGGGAGGTGCCCACAAGGCCCCCTTTCAGCTAGGCCCCTGCCGCTCCTCCTCAACCAGCAGGGGTCAGCCCAGCTCATACTGACCCTCTCTCTACCAAGCTAGCTAGTTGAGGGTGGGGTGTCAGCACCCAAAATGAACAAGGTCAAGGCCAGATGTTCTATCCCAGTCCTGGACAGTTTCCTCCAAGCAGCAAAACTCTTTTCAGCCAGGCAGGGTTTTCAGGTAGGCGCTGCTCCAACTCACCCTACCCCAGCCATGGACTGTTCTTATTAACAATGACCACAGCAATCCCCTCGGGTCCCCTCCCACTGTGGGAGCGTTTCTGTCCTCTCAATAAATCCTGCTTTCTCAAAAAAAAAAAAAAAATGACATCAGATGTTGAACCCAAACTGGTCCCAGACTGACCCCTGGTCTTGGCCACAGATTGCCTCATGAAGCTGAATACAGACTAATTCTAATCTCAACCACTCATCTACTCAGACCTCAAGCCGCATCCTCCTGCCCCCACCCCCAGGCACAGGCTGACCACAGACTGAAACCAGCCCACCTGATATTCATTGGGCCAGAAGGTGCTGACAGCCAGTTCAGCCTGGTGCCACTGACGGCCATGGGATCCAGTCATATTCCAGACGGCGCTGCCCAAGGGCCCCCCATTAACACGCACATAGACGCCCAGAGTGCCTGGGCTGTGCCCATCCCGGCTGTACAGGAAATAGCTGAACTGGACACAGTGGGTGTCATTCTCACTCAGGCTCTGGAAGATGACATGGGCTCGCTGGCCTGGAGCATGCTGGGAAGTGTTGACCATCAAGTAGGAGCCTGGAAAGAGAAGAGGAAGAGGCAGGAGCAAAGGAGGACTTAGAGGAGGAGCAGGGTCAGATAGGCACTGAGAAGGGGCAGAAACGAAGGACTCCAGGCATTGGGACCCACGAGGAGTCAGGGTTCTGAGTTCTAGTTTCAGCTCTAACTCCCTTGGTAAGTCCCTTCACTTCCCAGTGTCTATTTCCCAAAGGAGAAAGTTGGAGCAGCAAAAACCACACAAACCTGACTTTGTCAAAAACCCTTTCGGCACCTCACCATCTACAGGTCACAGTCTGAACCCATGGTCTGCCTGAGCACAGCTTTTCCCTTGTTCTGAGCCATCCCTGGAGGCAGGTACTGGGTCATTCATCTCCAGAGTCAAGAGCCTGGCACATGACAGGCCCTCAAAAGTCACCTTTTCCAAAACCCTCCCTCCACATCCCACCAAGGGCTTCTCTCCTGGCTCCTGGATCATTAGTAAAGTATATGTCGGTCTCCCCACCAGCCTGTGATGCCTCAGGGCTTCACTGTGTCCTGGCAGAGGCTCTGAACACGAGCTGAATGAGTATGTAGGACACAGGTTGAATGAAAAGATTCTAACTTCCCCTCTGGCCCCCATCCCTGAGTCTAAATTCCTGGGATACAAATTCCCTTGATTTCCAACCTAGTCAAAGGCAGTCTGCTCCTTCCCCAGAGATCCAGGCTGTGTACTGGGGGGAAAGAAGTGGACTAGATGCCTCAGGACCTGGCTGGAGGATCAAGGCTTCCCTTCTGGGGAAGGAAGCGCCCAGTAATTGCCCAAGGGGCACCTGCAGCCACCCAGCTGCCTCCTCCCAGGCTTGGTTGCCAGCCAACACAACTCATTCAGATCCTGACTCCACGGGTGCTCCCCAGGGACTCCTGAAGGGAAGCTCATGCATCTTTGTGAGCCAGAAGCCATGTGGGGGTGGTTCTTGGATCAGTCCCAGCAAGGGAGTAGGAAACAGAACCCAGGTCCCCTTCCCATCCTGGAAGGGGCACATCCCAGCTTCCACACGTTCCCTCTTGGGCCAATGCTTCTCGCTCCTCTCCCTGGAAGCAGCTGTGTGTGTCTTTCTCCCCCTTCCAATCTGACCCTCGGTTCCTGTCTCCTCCTCCTGCTCCCTCTGTCTCTCCCTTGCTCACAGCATCCCTTCCTTCTCTTTCATTTACTCCTTTTGTCCCTTGTCGTGCTTCCTTCTCTCTCCTGCTGTCCTCTGAGTGTGAATCCCCTCCACCCAGCTCTCTTCCCTGGAATGTGAGCACCAGGAGGGCAGAGACTGCTCCAGCTGGCTCACCACCACACCCCAGGACCCAGCACAAGGCCCAGGACAGTTACTAAAATTCCCTCTCCCCTTTCTCACAGGGTATGTCTCTGCTTGTGTGTGGACAAGAGAGGCAGGTGGTCAGAACTATAAGAGGGGAATTCAAGCCAGGTCTTGTCCCTGAGTGCCAACTGTGGGTGGGTGGAGGCTGGACCCTGGGGATGTAGAAGGTTCACATAGGGTCCCTGCCATGGTGGGAAAATTTACAGATCATTCTCAGACACATCAAGCTGTGATACCCACTCATACTGACATCTAACAAGGGTCTGAGAGCCCTGCAGAGGCAGAGATAAATGCCCCAGGAAGTGCACATACGGGGAGGCAGGGCAAGCAGCAGAAGTCTGAGGGGCCACCTGTGCCTGACCATGAAGGGCTTCTCCCCATTTTACGGTTAAGGCAGTAGGGGTTCAGAGAAGTTAAGTGACTTGTCCAAGGTCACACTGCTAGTAAATGATGAAGCCAGGATTTGAGCCCAGATATATCTTCATGACTCTGGAATGAGTGCTCTAGGAGCCATCATGAGAACAGGAGGCCAGTAGTAGAATTCACATAATTAGTCTCCTGACTCCCAGTCCCGTGCTCAAAAGTGCCCCATCCTGAAATAGGGGCAGAGCAAGGTAGAAGTTGGGAATAATCTGGAACTTCCAGAAAGAAGAAGGCAGAGGAAGGAAGGTTTTACACACATCCAGCCCTTCAGCTTCTTCAAGTCTTGGAAAGACCGGGATCAGAGGCTCTCCAGGAGAAGGCCTCTGAAGAGAGCCTCCCAAAGGCAGGAAGTCCTGGTGGGAGTGGGACAGATCCCAAGCCAAGCTGCAAGGGGAGTAATGGGAAGTGGGTTTTAACCTCTAGCTGTAAGGGCCTTTGATTACTTGAACCTGCACCCATTTTGCAAGTGGAACTACCTGACATGCACAATTAGACAGTGCCCAGAGAGCGCCACACTCAGTGTCATATATGTCATTACAGACGCAAATGCAGATGAGGCCCAGAGAGGTTAAGAATGTGCACAAGGTCACACAGCAGGTGGGTAGAACTGCCTCCAGAAGGAGAAGGGAGAGTGGTGATAGAGAGTACGCTCACCGTGAGGCAGATCCGCAGGGGCCCGGGTGCCAGGGTGGATCCGTACTTGTTCCCACTGGAAGTCATCATATTGGGCCTGGCTGTACTCACAGGGCACTGCTGGGTCACTCGCCTCCTCAAAGGTGCAGCCAGCTGTGAGGGCAGAGCCTGGTTAGTCAGGCCAGGGCAGGGCTGCTGACCAGGCGGACTCCTGGAGGGCAGCCCCCACCCCCCTTCTACCCAGGCCAACACTACCTCCCTCCCGCTTCAGGCCCTTCTCCCCACTGCTCCCTCTCTCCACTAAGGTCTTCCCTTACTGTCCCTTCTCAATACCAAGACATCCCTACACTGCCCACTCCCGCAGTATTCTCAGGATCCCCCCCACTGATCAATCACCCATAAAAGACCCTCCTCAATAAAAACTCGTTATCATGATTGCTATATCGCTGGAAAATTACAACCCATGAGATCAGAATTAGAATTATTCCCATTTTACAGATATGGAAACTGAGGCCCAAAAAAGGTTGAGTGACTTCCTTAGGGCAACACAGCTTGCTAGTGACAAAAGTGGGGTTTGAACCAAGCTCTCCTAACTGCTCAGTGTTCTATCTCCTGCCCTCTCTCTTCCCATAGAGGATGGACAGCGGACCCTGGGCCTAGCAGGATCATGAATCTCCTAAGTCAGCCCAATGGTGTCTCCTTAAAAATAACAACAATCGGCTGGGTGCTGTGGCTCAAGTCTGTAATCTCAGCACTTTGGGAGGCCAAGGTGAAGGAACTGCCTGAGCCCACGGGTTCAAGAGTAGTCTGGGCAACTTGGCGAGACCTCATTTCTATAATAAATAAAAAAATTAGCCAGGCATGGTAGCGTGTGCCTATGGTTCTGGCTACTTAGCAGGCTGAGGCGGAAGGATCACCAGAGTCCAGCAGATCAACGCTGGGGTGGCCATGAGCGTGACACTGCACTCCAGCCTAGGTGAAGGAGTGAGACTCCAACTCAAAATAAATAAATAAATAACAACAATCAGCAGGGTGTGTTGGCTCATACTTGTAATCCCAACACTTTGGGAGGCAGAGACTAGAGGACTGTCTGAGGCCAGGGGTTCGAGACCAGTCTGGGCAACTTGGCGAGACCTCATCTCTACAATAAATCAAAAAATTATCCAGGCATGGTGGCACACGCCTGCAGTTCCAGCAACTTGGAAGGCTGAAGTGGAAGGATCGCCTGAGGCCAGCAGGTTGAGGCTGCCGTGGCTGTGAGAGTGCCACTGCACTCCAGCCTGGGTGACAGAGTGAAACTTCAACTCAGAAAAATAAAAAAATAACAACGATCATACCAATCATCTCATGCTTACAGCAAGCCCAGCACAATGCCAAAGCCCACTCAGTGATCTACTATGCAGTAGGAATCCCTCATCCTTCAGAGTCTCAGTCACCTCATCTGTCAAATGGGGAGAAGCTCCAGTGGCTGGCAGGCATCCAGGACTGGGCTTGGCATGATTGGCATTTGCTTCCTTGCTGCTAGCTGAAGCGTTTTCCTGGGTCTCAGTGGCTTGGACAACTCCTGATGGGGCTGCAAATATGAAGGTTTGGGAGTGAGTGCAGGAGACCAGTTTGCAGTTTCTTTCTGAGCCAACAGTATAAGTGCAGAGCCTTGTTTAGACCTCAATTCTGGGTCAGGTACCACTACTTTCCTACTAGACAGGTGCCAAGAGGATTCAGTCATTGCCAGTGTTGTCAACTGAGGTCTCTACTACAGGAATGTGACATGCAAAAGCACATGTGTGGTCATGTATGACTAGAAGAAGCAAACTCTCATGATTTGCAACCAACATGAACAGTTTAAATGAGAAAAGGAGGGAGGAAGGGAGGCCTGAAACAGATGTGAGTCCTGTGCTTGGTAATTAGGCTCACAGATCTTAGCTGGCTCATCAGTCCTGAGCTGGGCACCTAATAAACCCGAGGACACCACTGGCTCAGAAAGAAACTGCAAACTGGTCTCCTGCACTCACTCCCAAACCTTCATGTTTGCAGCCCCATCAGGAGTTGTCCAAGCCACTGAGACCCAGGAAAATGCCTCAGCTAGCAGCAAGGAAGCAAATGCCAATCATGCCAAGCCCAGTCCTGGATGCCTGCCAGCCACTGGAGCTTCTCCCCATTTGACAGATGAGGTGACTGAGACTGAAGGATGAGGGATTCCTACTACATGGTAGATCACTGAGTGGGCTTTGGTATCAGACAGACCTAGGATCAAATCTTGACTCTTCAATTTGCCAGTCCTTGTGACTGTGGGCAGGTGGTCTTCTCATTCTGAGCCTGTTTCCCATCCACACAGGGAATGGCTAAGGATTCAATGTGGTGGCTCACTTAGCACAATGCTTAGCATATGTAAGCACTCAAAAAAATAGTAACTCTTAATATGTACTACTTGGGCCTACATAAAAAACAGAAGCATGTCAATCAGATGCCAAAGTCCATACTCTCCATCAGAAAAAGCTTCAACAGGCTGGGCATGGTGGCTCCCATCTGTAATCCCAGCACTTTGGGAGGCCAAGGCAAGAGGATCGCTTGAGGCCAGGAATTCGAGACCAGCCTGGGCCATATAGCGAGACCCCATGAAGGAGAAGGAGGAGGAGGAAGAAAAGGAGGAAGTGGAGGAGAAGAAAAAAAAATTAGCAGGGTGTGGTGGTACACACCTATAGTTCCGGCCACTCAAGAGGCTGAGGCAGGAGGACCACTTGAGCCCAGGAGTTGGAGGCTGCAGTGAGCTATGATCGCATCACTTCATTTCAGCCTGGGTGACACAAGGAGACCCTGTCTCATAAATAAATAAATGCCTTCAATACCAAAAGGAGCAAACCTGAGCTGCTTCCCAATCTCCAGAAGAGGAGGGAGGGGAACAGAGGGCAACTGAAGAGTGAGGCCAGTGCCAGGCATGGTGCTAGGCAGTTTCACTTTTAGAAGGCTCTGCCGCTTCCTCTGCAGCAGCGACCTCTCCAAGCTGATATGGGGATCACCTGAAGTGACATGGAGACATCCGGCAGAGCCAGGCACAAAGGGCTCACCGTCTCTGGGGTCTCCCTTTCCTCCCCTGGACCCCATCAGAGTGTGAAACGATGGGATGTGGCTGTGAAGTTGACACCAAGTGAATGAAGGGAGTAACAAGACTTTCCAGAGCTGGGGCAGGACCCCAGCTAAACCCTTTGCCTCTTTGTTTGAAAAGGCCTGGTCAGCATCATCATGCCCTATGGCCTGAGTGAGGTAGGTTTTAACCCCATCTGTGCTGGGAGGGCCTCAGCTCTCCCTCTAGAAAGACCCACAGTGCAGCACAGAGAGAGTACATGACCAGTTGAGATGGTCAGGGAAGACTTCCTGGAGGAAGGGGAGAGCTGACTTCAGTTAGAGCTGGGTCTGCCCAAAGGGTCTTAGCCAAGGCCTCCCAGAGGTAGGGGGATAGCCAGAAAGGAAAACCCAGGATCCAGAGCCCTGACTGGGGCTCAGGGCCTTCCTGTTCTTTCACAAGGAACAAGGCAGCTGCCCCAGGGTATCTCACCCACGGCCCTCAGGCAAGCCTGGGAGTGCCAGCTCCTTGGCTTCCTCTATCTATTCTGAGCCAGGCCACATGATCTGCCAGGACTCCCAGATTGACTGACCTGGTCAGGGTGACCCTCAGACCATCTGACCTCAGCCAGAGCAGTCCCCACACTGACAGACTCCAGTCACAGGATCCCTCAGATTGACTGACCCAAGCTGGTGATCCCCAATTAAACTGACATTAGTCAGACTGGCTCCCAGCTGATTGTCCTGTCCAGAGTGGCCCCAGCTTCATATAGATGACCCTCAGACTATCTGACTTCAGCCAGAATGACCAACTGACTGACTGAATGACTGACCCAGATAAGCTGACCCCAGTCAGGGTGACCGCTGACCTTTATCAAATGACCCCTACAACTGACCCTAGTCAGAGTGGCTTCCTGGGCTGACTGATTCTATCCAGAGTGACCCCTTAACCAGAATGACTCCCTCTCCATGATCCATGTCCATCTCTAGGCCTGTGTCTCTGAGCCAGGCCCAGTTCTAGCCACAGCCCCTAGGGGGTAACATCTCTGGGAACAGTCAGCCCTCCCCAGCACTTGAAAAAGCCCACATCACCTCCAGCCTGGACAGCTCAAGAGCTGGGAGCCCCAAGCCTCTAAGCCGAGTCCCAGTTCCTGCTAGAAACCTAACTCACGCTGGAGGCCACTAGCCCGAGGAAAAAAGAACTAAATCAGACTTTGAGTTCAGAGCAAGAATGGCAGCAGGGAATCCCTCTGGACTCCACTGACACAGACATAGGCACAGATATGCATCTATACACATCAGCACCACCGCAACCACCTGCGATAGTGAAGCCTCATAGCAACTCAGAACGTAGGTACTATTATGATTCCTATTTTACAAATGGAAACAGGCTCAGAGAGATACAGTTGCTTGCCCAAGGCTACAAAGCTACTATGTGCAGAGGCTCAGACTTAAACCACCCATCTTCATCCCAGGAGACCAGACACAAACTAAATTGGATTCTGATATTTCACAGGCCATATGTGTGAATTCCGCTTCATTCACAGAACACGTGTTCCCTGACAGTAGACAGCAGGTCCCATGTTGGCACTATTAGAGGTCAAGAATAGTTAAGACTCAATCCTGCCCTCAGGGACCTCCTAGTCTGAGAGAGGGTGAGGCAATGAGACAAAGCAGAGAAGAATCAAGGCCACAAGAGGGTGGTCAGGACAGGGGGGTACGTGAAGGAGAGCGGCTTCCTGGAGGAGGATGCATATGAGCAGAGCTTGGTAGTATAGGTATCATCAGGCCCATAGAGACGGGTGGAAGGACATTTGAGGCAAGGGCCCAGCAGGACCAAATGAAGTTAGTAAACACAGTTTGTCCAGAGCACAGAGAGAAGCCCAGACTGGCTGAAGACATGGGAGATGACACTGGAGGAAGGGGAAGTTGACGTCAGATCACAGAGGGCCTTAAATACCAAGGTGAGTAGTTCGGCCTCATTTGGAATAGGAGAGCCACAATAGGTGTTTGAGCAGGAAAATGCCTGGATTCAGATGGGATGTGTGATGTGTCCTATAAGCCAGGAGTAGGGCAGGATTTGGAGGGAGCTG